TAAGCCACATCCCCAGCCCTGCACTTTTTTTTTTTAACAGTTCTTTTTTAAGTATTTATTTACTTATTTTAGTTGCAGATGGACAGTATGCCTTTATTTTATTTTTATTGGTGCTGAGGATCAAAACCAGTGCCTCACACATGCTAGGCAAGTGCTTTACCACTGAGCCACAAACCCAGCCCTTTATTGCACTTGTAACAAATATTTTGTGTGATTACACATTTGATTTCTGTTTGCTGGTAGAATAAAAGCTCCATTCAGGCAGGGCCTATTTCTGATTGCTTACTCTGATGCACTGTGGGAGGAATCCATCATTGGATGGATGAGGGAGAGGAGGGATTGGGGGGATAAGGGAAGTGGGTGAATGAGGATCTGTGGACCAGGAGAAAGCCCTACGCTGGGTATAGAGGGGAATTATTTGTCTCTAGGGACACTAATCAAAATCCTGAAAACAAATAAATGCAATAAGAGTCAAGGATCAGGGACTGATGGAAAATTCCCTATTGAGGATGAGAAGAGGAAGTAGTTTTGAGTAGCCAAAATGGGTTCATTAATAACAAGCCTTCACTGGGTATCCACTGAGTACTAGGCACAGTGCTGGGTGCTGGGCACACAAAGGCTAACTTTATTACAGCCTGGACCCCAAGTGACCTCACCAGCCTAAAATGCCCAGGGTCACCACTCTAAACCCAAGTGTGGGAAACTGAGGAAGATCTAGCCAAGTCAGCCAGCTAGAGAAATGTGAAGGGAAGATAGACCTGGTTGGGAAGCTCATGGCTTGATTATGTCTGTCTCTAAAGGATACAGCATCAGTAGAGGAACACAAGTACATGGGTGTTACTTCTGTCTTCCACACCAGAAGTACCTAGAGCATGCTTAATGCCTGTTCTTGTAACTGAACTAATGAGCAAAGTACACAAAATTTGGAGTGAACCATATGGTTTTCAAGTCTTTCTGTACCCCTTACTGATTTGCCTTGGACAAATCAGCAACCCTATCTGAACTTCAGTTTCCCCATATACAAATGGAAATAATAATGCCCAATTTTCAAATGATGATGGGCTATCAACTCCACAGTCTAACAGATGTTGGATTCTATCATTAAGACACAGTCCCTGCTTTAAGTCATGTAGGAAGCACACTTTGTGGGAGGGGAAGGGCCCTGGTGATTGAACCCAGAGGCTCTACCACTGAGCTACATTCAGTCTTTTTTTATACTTGAGACAGAGTCTCACTAAACAGTCCAGGCGGCCTCCAATTTGCAGACCTCCTGCCTCAGGCTCCTGAGTAGTTGGGATTACAGGTATGCACCACTGTGCCCAGGTTACAAGGCAGCACTTTCAACACCAGCTGGTGGAGTTGTGAGGGACAATCACCTGACCCTGAACAAGGAGGTGGTCTTGAAGTGGAGAGGAGAACATTCCAGGAAGGTGAGCTAGGGGCATAGAGTTGGGAGATACACATGGTGCTCAGAGCTGCCCTCAGGCTGAGTGACCAGGATGTAGCACTTGGGAAGCCAAGGAGCTGAGGCCATTACTATGCCAGAGGCAGATCAGGTAGAGTGCAGCCTTGTGGGTCACAGCAAGGAGTCTACACACTTGGTACAAGTGATACTAAAGACCCTAAGGGCAATCAGATGTGCATTGAGGAAGGCCCCCCCTTCTGCCATGCAAAGGACAGAGATATCAGCCTGGAGGCAGGATGGTCAGGCAAGGCGCTGTGGCCGTGGACATGGTGAGTGGGGAAAGGCAGCAGCCTTGGACTTGGGGCTTGAGGCCAGCAGACTGGCGGGCAGGAAGGAGCCACTTCTGCTCTCTCTCCTCTGGCCATGTGCTCAATGTGCTTCAGCATCATGGGATATCAGAAAGGGCCTATGTAGACACTGACAGAGGCTTACCCAGGTTTTAATTCAAATCCCTCATTTCTAGCTAGAAAAATGGGACCTTGGGCAAGGTTCATAATCCTTCTTTAAAATGGGGCAAAAATGCCTTTAAAAGGGTTAACAGGAGAATTAAATGACATGACTCTAAGTGACTGGAAGTAGGTGCCTGGCTCAGAGTAGGTACTTGGTAAATGTGTTTCAGAATGCTTGTCCTCCTTTTCTCCTAATCAAAATTCACCTTGTAACTCCATGTATTAAATATTCATGGATCTTTGTTACCATACCTGCCTGCCTTCCTGCCTTCCAGAAATATCCTCCAGAGTATAAGCTCCAAAAGGACAGAAGCCGGGCTGGGGATAGAGCTCAGTTGGTAGAGTGCTTGCCTTACATGCACAAGGCCCTAGGTGAGCCAAGTCTATCTTATATATCACTGCAGTCCCATCACTAATACAGTACCTGGCCCCCATAGCAGATGCTCACTTCATTTCACAGAATTAATTGAGTACCTTCTCAGCACTCTTTGTTCTAAGAATATAATCATGAACAAGAAAAAGTATGGTTGTTTTAGTGGAGGAGACAAAAGCCCATAAGTGACTTCAGATAGTGACAATACACTAAAAAAGTACAAAGGATGACATGTTAGAAAGTGACCAGGTAGGACATTTTACAAGCTAGTGATCAGAGAAGGTGACTGAATATTCCAGGCAGAGGGAACAGCTAACACAAAAGCTCTGAGGCAGGGACCAGCTTGAGATGAAGGAACTTGTGTGGCCAGAACACAAGTGACGAGAGAAAGAGACCCCCAAGACTGGAGAGGTGGAAGAGAGCACCTCTTACAAAGCCACATGCTCTGTAAGACACAAGGAGAGACTGGATTTTATTCTAGGCCAGCTGGGAAGCCACTGGAAGGACTTTAGCGGGAGATTCCCATCTGATGTACACTTCTGAAGGATCACTTTGGCTACCCTGTGAATACATTGGGAGGGGAGGATGGAAGCAGGGAGCCCTGCGGGGTAGCAAGTTATCGCAGTGCTCAGATGAGAAGCTTGCACAAGAGCACAGTGGTAAAAAAGTAACTCAGGGGATACTCATGTGCTCTGTGACCATGTCTCCCTTCCCTTGGAAGCATGGAGGCCCTGCCCTTTTCTATCCTTCCTGCCAGCTCTGATGGCCAGGGGAGCAGGCATGTTGGTTATGTCCATCTGTCCCAGGAGCCTCTAAAGGATGGGCCAGGCTTGGTTCAGGTTGGTCTCCAGCTCTGTTCAGCTGCAGGCTGGATGTAACCATGCTGAGCCTCCAAGGGCTGAATCAAAGAGCCAGTGAAGGAAGATGAAGGAGCAGTGCCACCAATCTGCAGCCTTGTGTCTGAAAGCACAATGACATCAGCAACTGAAAGGGAAATGGACAGGAGGAGGGAGCTGGGGCAGATGGCAGGTGGCTCTATGGAATGACAGACAAAACTACAGCAGTGGTTACAAGGAATCAGGGCAAAATAGGTTGGGCCATTGAGTCAGCTCCAAGGTGTGGGGTCACATATCTGCCAAAAGTGGCCCCTCCCAGGCAGGAACAGCATTGGTGGGCAGTGCAGGTGCCACGGGGCCTGCAACCTGGCAGGTTTCCAGAGGGGTAGAAAAAATCAGGGCAGAGAAGGAAGTCTTGGGAAGGGCAAGAGAAATTACCTAACACTCCAAAAACAGTGTGAAATAGGCTGGCAGAGGGAGGGGAGGGGACTGTCCTTCCCTGGGGGCTCAGGCCCCAAAACTTCAGCTACAGGAGAATAAGGCTATGGCCTAAGTCAGGGCATTCTGCTGAGGAGGGTGGTGTCACAGACTAGCCATCCCCACCTCATATCCCACCTACAGTGCAGTCCAGTCCAGCAAGAGGCCAGCTGGCAGACAGGACAGGGCAGAAACAGCTGCAGAGCTCACCTTCAGCCCACTGTCACTTCTCAGATAGCCTCTCAATCCCGGGAAGCTGCTCAGGCCTTGCCACTGCAAACTACTCTCCTCCCAAACCTACATGACCCCCTGAGTGTCCCCATCACCCTTGAGAAAGAATTCAAGTTCCTGACCTGGCCACCCAAGTTCACATTGGTCCGGCCTCAGAGCCAGCTGCATCTCTGCTTCCTTTGTGCCTATTTGACATACCTGTGTTATCAAGCTCATCTTGTCTCTGGGCATACTGTCCCTTCTCTGTGGGAGGTCCTCTTCAACTATCTCAGCCTCTAGGAACTTTCTAAACTCAGCATAGGTCCTCATCCAAGAAGCCTTTCTAGAGCAATCCAGGCCTTGGCAGGCCCTGCAAGGGCTCTCTACCAGACTGCCTTGTCTCCTGGTGGCCAATCCTGCCAGTGGGCTCCTCTGCCCAACGCACCAGTCAGGGCGCTCTGCTTCCACTCAATTCCCTGCAGCCCAATTAGATTATTCTCCTGCTGCTCTGTGCTGGTCACAGAGAACAAAGATGTAGTAGTGAGGTCCCTGCTGTCAAGGAGAGCCATGTGCTCACGAAGGCAGAACCACCACAGAAGCTATCCACCCCAATAGGGCAGACCAGGAAGAAACAGCTCACACCCTCCAGGGCCCAGAAGAAAGACAGAAGGCCTCCTGGAGAAAGAGGAATCCAAGTGGGGCCTCAAAGGACTGAGTGGTGGAAGAACAGAAAAGGCATGTCAGAGAGAGGAAAGAAGGAAGGAAGACTAAGGGCTGTGTCCAGCAAAGCTAGGCTGAGTCCAAGACAGGAGGGGCTTGGGTGAAGGGCCCAGGATACGAGCTGCACCTGCTCTGTGGGTGATGGATGCCAAGGGAGATTTTGAATCAGGAGAGTGACATGGCTCCTGAAGGTCAAGCCAATCCTACTCTTAATTGGCTCCGGCACCCAGCACCCTAACGGTGATGCCCAGAAAGTGCACAAAGGAGGAGGTATATTTTGCCTGTTGGTACCTTGGGCCATGTCACACCTGCTGGCTGCCACATGGGGTGGGGAATCACATTGGAGAGGGGACCAGAGGGGAGTGAGGTCTGCACTTCTGCAGGGGGCCAGGCAAGGGGACACTGGAAGATCCTGCCCCATGCTTAACATTTCCTCACATGTGACAGTGTGCTCTGACTAGACCAGGCCACAGAGCACATGGGTCTCAGATCTTCTGGAGCTGGGTAGGCAGGCAGTCTCAGGACGGTCGCTTTTCAGGGGTCATCAGCTGCTCCACCTCCCGCATGAACCGCAGACACATCTCTTCCTGCCAGGGCAGAGCCACGCACTGCACAGCCACAGGCAACCCCACACTATTCTTCATGGCCTGCAGGGGACACAGGTATCAGGATGGACAGCAAAGCAGGATCCCACTCCAGGCCCAGAAAGCATGTGCCTCACTAGAGAGGAGAGGCAGCAAGGCAGGCCGGCTTAGCCCGGGGGCTCGCTTAAAAACAGCTCTGAGGCTTCCCTCCTCAGCAGGCAGAGCTGGGGCAGGGAGTGAACTGAGGGCATGGGCAGGCCTCACCTTCTTCAGCACCTTGTCCCAGATATCCCCAAAGTAGCCCCTGTAATGTTCCATCTGGGCCTCGTCCTCAGCAGTCACTGTGGTGACAGGCACCACCCCCGCAGGAAAGTCCAGGCAGTTGTAGAGCACGGTGTAGCTGATGGCCCCTGGAACACATCACAGTGGCTGCAGCAGGCCCTGAGACTGGCAGAGCCAACTGTCCTTTCTAGGCCTTGATCACCCTCCTTGTGAAATAGCACCCTGCTTCCAGAGTCAGGGAAAAGCCCTCTCCCAGGATTGGTGTTTCAGTGCAAAGTCCAGGAGCCACAGATGCTTGCCCTGTGCCTTTGTCCAGGTAGTTTCCCTGCCTCGAACATCATTCCTATTTTCTTGGCTTATCTAGATCTCATCTAGATTCAAATACCATTTCCCAAAGTAGACTCTAACTAAACATCCCCAAGTTGAATAGTGCTTATGACAGGGAGCTCATTCCCTCCCAGAGCATCCCACATGACTCCCATCTCTCCAGCCAGCCAGCCTCCCCCAAGAGCGGAGTGCTCCCCCAGTATTGGGGTCCTCCCTCAGTGCTCCTCCTATACTTCCAGTAGCTCCACAGGGCTCAGGGCTGAATCCATAGAAAAGAAGGGGCAGGTGGAGTGTGAGGAGAGCAGGTGGGGCAGCAGGCCTCACCTGTGGCCCTGCCTGGGGCATTCAAGTTCAGAGCAGGACCCAGCATGGGGGTTAGCAGAACATCCAGGTCCAGTGCTTTCCACTGAGCAATCACAGAGTTGCGGTACACCTGAGGGAATGCCAGCACACCAGGGAGGTGCTCAGACCAGGACAGTTCAACACAGGGACAGTGGCAGGGGTCTGGTCCCAGCACCTGCAGCTGGATCTGAGCTGAGCCAGGAAGAGGTCCACAGGCAGGCAGCAAAGCTTCTTGGGAACACTGTTGTTTCCACCTCCACCTCCTGCCCAAACTATAGACACTTCCTGCTGAGGTGAAGCCATGTCCTGCATAGCCACAGGCAGCTCCAAAGGGGCAAAGAACAGGAGTCCTATGCTGACCCAGCCCCATGGGACCTGGGCAGATGAGCATCAGAGAGCAGGGCCCAACGTGCAGGATGGAGGTAGGGGGCGTGGATGACAGGTCTCTCTAGGAGACCAGTGGGAGCAGTGGCTAGAAGACCCTGCTGCAGGTGCCCTGAACAACTCCACCCTCCCCTGCCACCTACTGTAGAGTAAGGGCTCAGGCCTCACCTCAATCTTATGCTGCAGTTCCCAGAGCTTTCCAGCCGACCTGCGCAGAGAGAGTGAAGTCACCAGCCAGCATGGCCACAGCCAGGATCACCTAGTGACTCCACAGCAGAGCCAGCCTAGACCAGGACTGATTTCTTACTACCCTCAGGACCCTGGAGAGGCCAGGGCTGTCAAAGGTCCTAAGTGTTACGGTGAGAGGAGTGAGTCCACAGGACACCAGGGCTGGAAATGGGGTCATTTGTGCCCTGCTTTTCCAGTCTGAGCCACTAAGGAGAAGATGGGACCCCATGCATCTATTCATTTCAGATCTCTAACAGCATTTCACCTGGTTCCCCAGTGTCCAACACCCCATGTGTCACCCAGCCAGGGCCAACTCCTTCTGATCCCTGTGCCCCCGCCAGGTCTGTCTTCTCTCTTCTACTTCTCCCCTCTGTTCCCTCCTTGATTTTGCTCTCCAGCCAGATCTGGACCCTATGCTTCAAGGTCCCCCTGGGGTCACACAGGTTGCCCCCCTGCCTATCCAATTCCATCCCAGAAGTTACTTCCAGTTGTCAGAAACCACCTGGACTCAGATCTGGGTCGGGGAAAGATAGGGGCAGACATCTAGCATGGAAATGTTCTCACCGAGGCCTCATGCTGCTGAGAAAGGATGCCATCCGTGGGAACTGCACAGGAACACACACAGGGTCAATGACTAAGCTTGGGGTAATGGGTGGCCACTATGCCACCCACTCCATACCTTCCCCAGGCCCAGGTCACACCCCTTTAGGCAAGAAGGTTGGAGGGGATGGGGAGGAGAGCAATTGGGGTGGAGAGAAGTGGCAGCCATGCCTGCCCAGAAAGACCAAGGGAAGGCTGGGAAGAGCCAGAGACCACAGGGCATCACAGGATGGGCGACCCCAGAGCCTCCCTTGTCCCTTAGCCCCTCACACTCTTTGTGCCCTCACCAGAGGCTTCAGCAGGAAGGCCAGCAGTCCTCTAAGCCAGCTGGGCAGCTTCAGAACTAAGATCAGGTCCCCCAAGCAGGGGTCCACAAAATCACCTTTGCTGGGAGATAAAAGGCAGAGTCTTGGTGCTCCCACCCTGGTATCCCTCCTGGCCTGCTCCTCACTGACTGTGTCCTGTTCTCCACCCTTCCCCCATCTCTCCTTATCAGACTCCAGTAACTAGTGGTCTCCAATCCCTTTGTCTGCCTCCTTCCAAGCCATGCTCATCTATATTCCCATCCTCCTGCCATAATCCCATCCTGAACTCTAATCTTCCCCAGACAGACAAGGAAGCCCCCTGCCCACCTTCTACTGGACAGCCAGCTCTGCTCAGGGGCTACAGATGTACAATTCTGCCTCCTATCAGGCTGGCACCTTTCCAAACTCTCCCTGGCAAAGTGTCTCCAGGCTCAACTTGCACAGCTGGAGGGACAGCAAGGTCCCTTCCCAGAGGCCCAGGCCTTATTCGTATGCAGCTGAGTTGGGTCTCGCTATCCCTGGGCTGGGCATTTCTTTGATTCCACCACAGACCCTGAAGCCCAACAGTACTCACAAGTTTTGGAGGAAGCTGTGGCCACCATCACTGAACAGCCCACATGTTGACAGGGTCTCCAGAGCATAGGGGATGTTGCTTGGCAAGAAGGGAACCAGCTGTAGGGATTGAGGGGTTTAAAGCCCCCAGACTTAACAACCCTTGGCTCCCATGACTCCGCCTGCTGTCCCAGGGACCCTAAGGATGGGCTGTACCCATTCTGCCACATGGTAGCTCTCACAAGAGCCATTAAAGGATGTTTTACTGGCCCATGAAAACTCCCCGTAAAAATGTCCCTCATGAGAGAATTCTGGAGTCGTAGAATTCTCCCAGTGTTACCATTTCAGGGCCCCAGAAACCTCTGGATGGCTGTGTACCTTGTCTGGGGTTGAGAACCTCCCCGCCCACCGCCAAACCAAATGCAGCGCTCACACATTACCCAGCGCTGGCTGAGTTCTCATGATCTTCTCTCTTCAATAATTCCGGCCTGCTGTCTACATACTGATCCCATAGGGTGACAGTCATTATCCTCAATAATTAAACAATCAAGAGGTTGAGGGCCTGGGAGGGAATGGCCGTGGGTACCAGGAAGACTGCCTTGGAGGAAAGGAGATGCCAGGACTGTGGGTTCCTACAGTCATACCGTGTGGCCAGCAGCTTCAAGGCTCTGCTTAGTCTCCAGTAGAGCCCGCTTCATGGCTGGGCTGGGCATGGTGTAGTTGTCGGTCTCATAGTACCCCACACGCAGGGGCTGGGAGCTTGTGTAGACCTGGGAGCAAACACAGAGGGTATGGTCAGGGCAGAAGCAGGACAGGAGAGGACAGTCTGAGCAGAGTTCCTAGAAGCCAGAGAAGCTACTCAGCCCCAGAAACAGCTACAAAGCTACAGCCTGGATCCCTCTGGCACTGTTTCCCCTGAAAACAGATCATCAGCAAGGTCAATCCCTTCCACATATGACCTATTCATAAAACACCTTCACAATGACTTGGTGGCAGACAGAGCATGGATGAGGATTCCCATTGGTCATATGAGGAAACTGAGGCTTGAGGTCTACCTAGAGTCTGAGGCCCAGAGTGGGGCTGGGACTTGCCTAAGGTCACCCAATGCAGAGATAAGATTAGGCCCATATTCAGGCATTCTGTCTCCTGAGCCAATATGCTCCACTACCTTGCCCTGTCCCCATGATAAACTTTCCAGACATCAATGAGGGACCTCTTCTCCTCTTCTCCCTCTGTCCTTCCCTCCCCATCTCTCTCTCTCTCTCTTTTTTTTCCTTTTTTGATACTGGGGATTGAACCAAGGGGCACTCTATCACTAAGTTACACCCCCAGAACTTTTATTTTTATTTTTTACTTTGACAGGATCTCACTAAGTTATCCCAAAAATGGCCTCAAACTTTTGATCCTCCTGTCTGTGCCTCCTGAGTTGCTGGGATTGTAGAAATGTGTCATCAAGACCAGCATCTTATTGATCCTTGAACAGTCTTCATCAGCTCTTCAGTAAAAAGCATCAAATGACATTTATACCCCATGATTCTGAATCTCTTACCTCAAGGTCCTCAGCTTGCTTTTCCCCAGTCCTCAACAATTAGATCATGATCCTTACCTAATCACAGCCAACATGCATGTTGGAAGACCTGCCTAATCCAGACTCCCCAATCCACCCTCTGGGGCACAGCTCAGGCTGTTGAGGCAGGGTTCCACCAGTTCAGAAAGTAATGAGCTCAGCTTTGATCAATGGGGCTGTCTTGGTGATATCCTGGCGAGCAGGCACTCTACACTACCCACAGCTTCTCACCCTAGGTGCCAAGCATGCTGTTTTCTGGGGATATAGATAGGACTATTGTAAGTAAGGCTGCTATTTACTGAGAATAAAATACAGCCTAGGTACAAGATTTCTCTGACTGAGAAAAAGGTCCTGACTGGTCCTCTGACACCAGCAGAGGTTGAAAGCCTGAGGGTTTCCAAATGCAGACAAGAGTGCCACCTTGTGTCCATCTATGGAGTAGCAGTTGACCCTGCCCTCAGATCTGGGGACAGTTTTCCTGGGACAGGGCCTGGGACACCTGCCCACAATGACTAGGTTCAGAAGTTCACCCCCTTTCCCCCTTTTCCACCCAACTCACCTCCTCCCTGAAGGGCACTGGGGGTACAGTGGGGTCCAAGCGGAACATGTCTTCACATAGCAGGGCTCTCAGGCATAGCGCCAGGCTCTCCACATCCCGTGCCATGGGGCCCACTGAGAGTTGCACTGTGGGGCAAGGAGGGGAGGGGAGGGAAGAGAGGTCATCCAGCCCCAATAGGCTCTGGGGCTGGCAAGCATGAGTTGGACTATGGCCCAGGAGTTGAGCAAGACAAGGTCAGAACTCAAATCTAGAGGGCCTGGTAGCCAGACACTGCCCCCCAGAGAAAGAGGGACAGAGGTGGATCAGGCTGACCCCCACCCTCCTCCAGGGACTGAAGGAACCAGACCTCACCTGCCACCTGTCCATAGACACAGCCCTTCAGACCACTCTTGCTGAATAAGAAACACAAATGTTGGAAATAGAAAATGGCTACCCTTTGCCCACCCTCAAGCCCAAGCAGCATCTCTAAATTCCTAGCACAGGAAACCAGGAACCACATATGACTGTGATGGTAATACTTCCTCCCAGCAAAAATCTGGTGAATGAATCCTTGCCTGGAGCCCAGAGATGTGGGAAGTTAGGCCAAGGTCAAATAGCAAGGGGCCCAGAAGCTTCCTATACCCACCATACCTGAGGCGGTTCCCAGTAGGCTTGAGGCCACAGATTCCACAGAAGGCAGAAGGGAAACGGATGCTTCCCCCGATGTCAGTGCCTAAGCCCAGGGGAGAGCCTCCAGACCCAATGAGGGCCCCCTCACCCCCTGAGGAGCCACCTGGGCTCTTGGAGGATTTCCATGGGTTCAGGGTCTGGCCAAAGAGGGGGTTACTGCAATCATAGCTGGAGGAAACAGAACAGGTCAGTCTGGGTCATGCTGGCACTGGTGTCCCTGCCCACCCCACCTCACCTTACTGAGGCCCAACCCCTGAGACCCAACCTGAACATGGACTGGGGGATGTTGGTGTGCACAAAGGGCACGGCACCCTGCAGCTTCAGCACCTGCACCACCACGCTGTCACACTCCACTGGCATTCCTTCATTCAAGCTCAAGCCCAGCGTAGAGTCATGGCCCTGGAGGAAGCACAAGCACCAAGAGGACAATGCAGATGAGTCAGGAGCCCCTCTGCAGCCCACAGTCCCCTCCACCACTGTCATACTGGCTGAAGCCAGGCATATCCATGGTCCTCTGGACTTGATATTTCCTCTGAGGGACCCAAATGACCCAGGACACAGAATTGGCTACAGGGACAGAGAGGAACAGGTATCACAGTAGGGTGTACCTTGTAGCTGAAGCACTCCTTGAGGCTCAAGGGGACACCATAGAGCAGGCCATGCCGTGGAGCCTGGGACAGCTGAGTCTCACAGTCAGCCAGGTAGGAAGTCACACAATTGATCCCTTTGTTCACTTCCCAGGCCTGAAGAGGAGAGAAATTGAAACAAAGTAAAGTGAAATGGGATTTTTTTTTAATTGTGGTAAAATGTGCATCATATAAAATTGGTCTTTTCAAATATACCCAGGGAAAGGGTAACCAGCAACATGGCCCACAGCCAGGAACACCTAATGCCCACCATCCTCCTAGCTGGGGACATTTGGCCCCAGCCTCATCCTATCTCCAGCTTTCAACTTTGTGACACAGAAAGAGAGGAGAAAGAGAGAGAAGAGAAAGAGAAAGACAGAGACGGGGGTGGAGAGGGAGAACCTCCAGGGCCAGGACACTTGGGGGAGCAAGATACAGTCCTCAAATATTCCCCAACAAGAGATGAGTTGGGAGAAGGATGACCACTGGCCTCTGCTCCCATTCCTCTAAGCCAGTCTCTGCCCAGCGAGGCAGATGGGAACCAGACAGGGGCAGACCTCCATGGCAGGTCACCTGAGGGTCAACTGTGGAGCTGGCTAAACTCAGGCCCCAGCCCAACACTGTCTCCTCTACCCCATGCCTGGCCCATACCTGGCCCAGCCCAACCTCCCCTTTCCCAAGTCCTCTTGTTTCTGATAATCAAGGCACATGGAAGTGACTGGCTGCAGTGAAGGATGATGACAGAAAGGAATGATTGTGGAGGTCTATCTAGAGTCCCCAACTACAGCCTCAGGGGCCAAGAGGAAAGGCTAGGGGAGAGCCCTGTACAGCCTTCAGTGCCTCCTCTGGTTCCTGTGAGACCCCCCCTCCGGGGGGGGTGCAGGTTGTGCTGCTACACCCAGGACTGTGTAACATCTATCCCCAGGCCACCCAAGGCAGGAAGGGAGGAGCCCAACATTTGTAACCAAAACTCTCTCTTCTGGTGACAAGGAAGAGTGAGGGCCTTTCAGGGTCCTTGTCAGGGAAAAGCATCACCATCTGCTGAGATTCTGTCAGTGACACCTGCCACCCGTGCTCTCTCACCCTCTCTCAGCTGTAGTACCTGTCATATCACCCCTCACCTAATACACAGGCCCATCTGCTTAGCGGTCATACTATCACACACAAGTCACACTCGTAATGCAAACTTTGTCCTTCCTTTCTTTTTTGCACATATTTCTTGAGTACTTTCTGTGTGTTCAGTACTAAGGTTCAAAGACAAATAAGGCAAACTGTCCACAAAGAGCCCACATGGGCATGGAAAAGGAAGAAGACAGGCCTGCTGTGGACAGAGAGCATGCAGAGGGCTGGCAGGGCAGGGGGCAGGGGCCAGGTGAGCATGGAGGCATCCTGCTCAGAGCCCTAAAGGCTCAGCCAGGGCAATGAATATCCCTCCTTCAGTAGCCTGTTGGAGGCCAAGCCCAGGGGCAAAGCAGAGGGAAAGCCAGTGGAGAGCATGGCAGGTCCTAAGCACTGACACTCTAATGCCCTGAACTCCTGACCACCAAGGACTGCGGAGCCGAAAGGGCACCTGGCCAGGAGGCTGCTGCTGGTGAGTGTAGTGAAGGCCAGGGTGGCTGAAGGAGGATAAAGACAAGGGAGGAACTGAAGAGAAACAGAAGATAGAACAGACCAGACTTGGTGACCAAAGAGTGGAGGCGTAAGGGACAGAAAAGTCTGGGCTGAAAGCCAGTTTTCTAGATAAAACAACATGTTCAGTGTCTTCCTCCACATGTACGTGCACACTCACGCCCACACAGAGCTCTCTGGCCTCTTCCCTCCCTGGTAGTCCCTGGCACTCTGGTCCCACCCTTGCCCTCAGCAGGATCATTCTCGGCCAGGTTTTCCTCACACACCTTACAGAGAAAGGGAGGAAGAGTGAGCAGAATATCAGGGCTGGAGGGCAGCAACCTTACCTTTCCCACATAGGTGAAGAGCGCAGCTTCAGGGGACAGCTCTCCACTCTGTAACTTCTGCACCAGTTGAGGCAAAGGCAGGGCCAGCAGCGCCTCTGAGTCCAGGTCGGGGTTCTAGGAGAAACACATTCAGATCAGTCCCCTCTTCCCAAAGGCCCCTGAGCCTGCAGCAGATTCCTGTGGCCCAGGCCCCTGAGCCCTCTCATACTCCAGAAGCTCAGTTCCACATGCCAATCCACGACAGACATGCCCATACACAGTTCTGACACCAGGGCCAGGACCTGGCCTGGGCAAGCCCTTGCCACCTTTGGGCAATGAATATCCCTCCTTCAGTAGCCTGTTGGAGGCCAAGCCCAGCAGTTGCACCAACCAATCACCATTGTAGGCCTACTGCCCCCAGGCACCACACCCATCCTTGGGTTTTGTTTTTGTTTGAGACAGTGTCTCAATAAATTGCCAAGACTGGCCTCCTGCCTCAACTTCCTGAATAACTAGGATTACAGGAGTATGCTACCACCCCTGGCTGTGTTCCACGTTTTGATTAAATGTTACTACCACTAGTGGGGCGTGGTGGTTCACACTTGAATCCCAGCGACTCTTGAGGCGGAGGCAGATGGATTGCAAGTTCAAAGCCAGCCTCAGCAACTTCCTGAGGCTCTAAGCAACCTAGCAAGACCCTGTCTCAAAATAAAATATAAAAACCAGCTGGGGATGTGGCTCAGTGGTTAAGCACCCCTGGCTTCAATCTCTGGTACCAAAAAAAAAAAAAAAGTTACTACCACTCCCATTATGCAGATAAAAAAACAGGCTCAGAGAGGAAGTACCTGGCCTAGGACCATAAAGGTAAATGGCTGTACTTTGCCTACTTAGCACAAGCTCCTCATTGGCTATCCACCTGCACTTGATCACCCAACCCCTGCAAGGGAGGCCAAGAACAAGACTCCTTCAGAGGGGCTGGAGACTACACCTGAAAGGAAGGATTTATACTTTATTCCACCAGCTCATGAGATGTCGCCTTTGTACCAGTGCCATGGCAGGCATGGGGATTAGGCAGTGAATGAAAAGCTGTGCCCATGTGAGCTTACACAAGGCAGGGATAGAGAACAGGGAATTAATAGGTAAACAAACAAGAATTTGACCCGGAGATAAAGAAAATAAAACAGGGTGTGATGAGTGGCAGCACATGGGTGGAAGGGACTGCTCTCCACGGTTCCAGGTCTCTGGGGTCAGCCCTTCCCACAAACACCCACCTGCTTCCATCCTCAAGGGTATTAGACCAATTAGCAGACACTTAGTCACAGCCCCAACTGTTCACCTGGCTCCCTATTATTTCTGCCAAGTCACCAGAGACCTCCTTGACTTTACTCCACATTTCCATGAGGCATCCTCATCAATTCTTCCTGAAGATAGATAGTTCACTTCCCTGGTTTCCCTCCTGCCCTCTTCACTACTTCCTCTATCATTCATTGATTTAGTCAGTCAACAAACATATTCTGAGCACCTACTATGTGAGGGGCTATGAATTTAGAAAGAACCAGGAAGACCCAGCAAATAAAAAGCTAAGTCACAGACAGGTCATGGCAAGTGTGAGACAGCAGATCAACAAGCACTGTGGCGGGAATGAGAGGACTGACTTAGATGGGCCAAGCTGGCCTATTTGAAGAGATGGTACTCCAGCCACGACCTGGAAGATGAGAAGGAACCAGATTCAGGGGGAAATACAAGCTCTTGGAGGCTTCTCCAGGGTTCATCTTCCCTTTCACGTGCTAGGAGCCGGCCTCGCTGGCTACCACTCCACCTCCACAAATGCCCCTGACTCTCTCCAGTCCTCTGCCTGCCCCACAGCCTCAGGATCCTTCACTCAGTCCCATCCAAGTGGGCCTGAACCCACTCATGGGGCTACTCTTGTCCCACCCCTCCATGTCCTTCCCTCTGAGCTCATCACCACCCCCCACACTTTCAGCAGGGTTCCTCCTCCTCACTGGACCCTGGACCCTCACTCAGGCAAGTGCACCATCATCCCTTCAGGTATTCAGGGGAACACCCAGTCATTCAAGAACCTCCCTCTCCCTCCTACCCACATCCAACCCGTCACCAAGCTCTGGAAAAACGGCTTCCTCTACCCCTCCACCAGGACGCTCACCCACATTCATCTTTTTCTCCTGGGTCACACAGGGAACCTAACTGCTGCCCTGCCCAAGCCCTGTCCCTCTGGCCCGCCATTCCTTCTAGGACCAGACAAGTGCCAAAGCTCAATCTGGCCTTGCCTGCCCCCTTAAAATTCCCATCCTGTCATGCACCAAGATCCAGAGCTTGTTCCAGAAGGAACTTACAAGCCATGGTCCTGTCAGACTCCTCTGTACCCCAAACGCACACCACACTTCCACAACTGAACACCTTCCACCCCCATTGACCATGGCCATTATACCTAATGTCCTCAGGAGTCCTTCCCTGAATTTGTTAAACGGATATACTTTCTTGGTTTGCCTTTGGTGGGGGGGAGGGGGAGTACCAGAGATTGAACCCAGAGGCCCTTAACCACTGAGCCACATCCCCAGCCCTTTGTATTTTTATTTTGAGACAGGGTCTCACTAAGTTGCTGAGGCTGGCCTCAAACTTTCAATCTTCCTGTTTTAGCCTCTCAGGAAGGGGAGATTACAGGCATGTGCCACTAAACCCAGCCTTAGTATGCTCTTTTTTAAAATTTTTACTTTATTTGTTGATGGCCTTTATTTTTTTATTTTAACGTGGTGATGCTGAGACTTGAACCCAGTGCCTCACAACATGCTAGGCAAGTGCTCTACAATTGAGCTACAATCCCAGCACTTGGTATGCCCCCCCCCCTTATTTTTGTGGTGCTGGGGATTGAACCCAGGGCCTTGTGCATGTGAGGCAAGCACTTACCAACTGAGGTATATCTCCAGTCCCCTTGGTATGTTTTTTAATACAGAAATCTAGAGTAGAAAAAAGTGGGTCACTGATCTCTACCCAAATACACCAGATAACCCTTGTTGAGTTGTTTTTGTTTGTTTGTTTTTAGGCACATAAAATGAAAAGTGATATTCACACACATACTCCTCCACCCCACACAGTCCCTCTACTGAAAAGGAAACTATTCTTAATAGTTTCTAATTAACTTTTACAGAGGAAGAAAAAAAAAGTTTATGAGGGGCTGGGGTTGTAGCTCAGTGGTAGAGCACTTGCCTAGCATGTGTGAGGCCCTGGGTTCGAGTGTCAGTACTACATATAAATAAAATAAAGGTCCATTTACAACTAAAATAAATAAATTACACATATTGGTGCATTGAGGGTGCACCAATATGTGCTCATATCAATATATATATATATCAATATATATTTTTTTAAGAGAGAGAATGAATTTTTTAAATATTTATTTATTTATTTATTTTAGTTTTCAGTGGACACAACATCTTTATTTTATTTTTATGTGGTGCTGAGGATCGAACCCAGCGTCCCACGCATGCCAGGCGAGCGTGCTGCCGCTTGAGCCACATCCCCAGCCCAAATATATATATTTTTAAAAGTTATTCTTTTTATACAAAATGATCACACTATACAGAATACTACATTCTGCCTCTCCCATCTCACAATGGAAACAGAAAATGTGGGGGTTTTCTGATTATAAAAATATGTGCTCATTGTTTTCAAGAAAATACCTAAAAGTATGGGGAAGAAATTAAGATCAGCAGAGAGCCCACCAACCTGGGATAATTACCACCTGCTGTCTGCTGGCTGTCTCCTCCCACCTTGTCATCAAGTGCCCACAGAGACAGCTGCAAGTTATCAGCCACACCATCCCCGAATTTTAATTCTTTCCTAGGTTTCTTCCTGTTGACAATTGATGATACAGTTGCTAACAGCTATTTTTAAGTCTTCAACTAATATTAGGCAGCCAAGACATTCTTTCACAAGACACCAAAGTAAGCCTGCGCCTCCAGAAGGCCCATCTGAACATGGGGAAACTCATTTTGTGTGGAGAATGCAAGGATGTATACTGATGTCCTCACTGTGTGGCCACCCTGCATGGGAACTTTTCAAGAGGGGGCTACTGTACCTATCTTTTAAGCACTGCCTCTCCCCGGCTTCGTTGTCTCCTTGAACCACCTATTGTCCTAATTTCAGGTCTCCTGGATTGTCTTCCCTGTCACTTTTCTTTTCCCTCCTGGTTTTTATTGTTTTTGTTCTGTTTCAAGATATTTCCTAAATAAATTAAATTAAAAGGAAAAGGGGCTGGGATGAGAGTTTAATTTTTTTTTTAAAAAAAGATATCTCTCCATTTGATCATGTTTGCCACTAATCTCAATGGTAATCATGTTCTCCTTCAACTCACCTACTGAATTATCTCAAAGTTCTGTGTAAGGCAGACTTGGAGAAAGCCAGACTTGGAGAAAGCCAGGAGATGGAACCAGAGGTGGGATCCAGTTGAAAGGAAGTGGCATTCATAGGACCAGTGGGTCTCTGCTAAGTGGGTGGGTATATAAGGTGGAAAAGGCATTGAGGGTGCACCAAAAGCATGTGTTTGAAGGCACAGAGGTAGGCACAGTATCCTGTGGTGCCTGTCCCAGCCTTAGCAATGGTCTCCCTTCAGTCTAGAAAGCCTATCAAACTCACTCAAGGGTCAGATGGGAAAAACGGGTGAATGGTTGTTTTGAGTAAACCTCTATGGTCGACAGAGTTATCAAAAACATAACTTTCTCTAGAGTTGCTCTGAAGAGGTGAATCATTTTGTGATGACTCAGAGATACATAGCACCCCCACACACACTCAATCACACATACATCCAGTGTATGTCCTCCTTGGTCCACAGCTAGCTAGCTAGCTTTGTCCATTATCTATCAGGGAGACGATACTACAAAAGTACTGTGTGTTCCCAGGGCTGCCTGGATCCTTCTTTTCCGAATGGCCCTTGCTATTCAGAGCTGGGTTAAGAAAGTCCCAGAAGAAAGGCTGCTGAACAGCCTCTGGTTCTGCCTCCCTCATCTAAGGACCCAGAGCCTAGAAGAAGGGCACCACAGGGGTGAGCAGGGGAAGGAATTGGTCCTAAGGCTGGTCCCTACCCCAAGGCCTACAAAGTTATTGGCTTCAAGATCCCACCCCTTAGCCAGTTAAATGGTGCACATCAATAGTCTCAGCTACTCAGGAAGCTAAGGCAAAAGGATCACTAGAGGCCCATGAGTTCAAGATCAGCCTGGGTAACATAGTGAGACTACAGCTCAAAAAAAAAAAAAAAAAAAACTGGGGAAAGTGGCCTGTAATCCCCATGGCTTGGGAGGCTGAGGCAGAAAGATCACAAATTCAAAGCTAGCTTCAGTAATTTAGCAAGACCCTCAATTTAGTGAGACCCTGTCTCAAAATAAAATATAAAAAAGGGCTAGAAATGTAGCTCAGTGGTAAAGTACTCCTGGGTTCAATCCCTGGTACAAAAACAAAACAAAACACCCCTTTACTGACTGCTGAACCTCAGGGGCTCCAAAGTCCCTTTGGTTTCTGGTCATTAGAAACCCAAAAATGTAGGGGCTGGGGATGTGGCTCAAGCGGTAGCGCGCTTGCCTGGCATACGTGCGGCCCGGGTTCGATCCTCAGCACCACATACAAACAAAGATGTTGTGTCCGCCGAATACTAAAAAATAAATATTAAAAAATTCTCTCTCTCTCTCTCTCTCTAAAAAAAAAAAAAGAAAAGAAACCCAAAAATGTAATTTCTCCTCCTGAAAGAGCCAAGCTTTGGTGTTTGAGGCTAGGTCTCCTGCTATAGGAAGGGTATAGAAACACCTCTTTGTATTTCAGATTCAAAATGTCTGTCCTGGAAGATTCTGTTCTTTAAAAAAATGATACTGGGAACTGAAATGCAGAAAGAGCCATCCTTCTACCACCACCAATGCCCCCCCTCCCATCCCTGCCAGTCAAATGCATTCCTTGTGACTCTCAGGATTCCTTCCTGTGGGCAGGAACTGTGGGCAGATTCCTGCACCTGCTCGCTGCACTGAGCTAAGAGCTGGTAGAACTCAGCTGGCTTCACAAAAGGACAGGAGTGGGGCAGCCAAGGGTGGTCCAGAATGAACCAGGGATCATCAGGAGGACCCTGTGTGAGGGGTATCTCCATCGCTCAGCCAAAGAAGAGACTAAGCAGTGAAGAACCCCTGATTAGGTAGTGACCAGTTTGGGTTGAACATCAGGGACTTCCCAATCTGGGAGAAGAGAACTCTAAAAACTGACTAATGACCAACCTAGATGCCCTTCAATAGATGAATGGATTGGGAAACTTTGGTATATACACACAATGGAACATTATTCGGCATTAAAAGAGAATAAAATCATGGTATTTGCAGGTAAATGAATGAAGTTGGAGAATATTATGCTAAGTGAAGCAAGCCAATCCCAAAAAAACCAAAGGCCAAATGTTTTTTTGTTTTGTTTTGTTTTTTGATATGAGGATCTTGACTCATAATGGTGATTGGTGGGGGAGCATGGAAGGAATGGAGGAACTTTAGATAGAGCAAAGGGGAGAGAGGGGAAAGGATGGGGCATGGGAGTAGGAATGATGGTGGAATGAGTTAGACATCATTACCCTAAGTACAAGACACGAATGGTGTGAAAATACTTTGTGTACAATCAGTGTCTTGAAAAATTGTCTCTCTATATATAATATGAAATGAATCGCATTCTGCCATCATGTATAACAAATTAGATCTCCCAGGTGATGGGAACAGCAGGAGTCAGGAGGATGTACATAGATGGAAGGCAGAGAGGGAGTCATTGAAAATTGCCACTTAGCAGGTGGTCAGTTATAGCAAGTGATTTTTTGAGTTGGGCAGAGCCTGAACTAGAACCTAGGTGCCCAGTGGAACTCTCCAGCTCACTGCAGTGGGGAGGAGCAGGAGAGGGATTAGGGAAACTGGGCATCAGATACTAGGGTGTGGCCCTGAATGTGGGTAAAGTTTTGGCTGGCTGTAAATTTCAATTTACTTCACATCATTCCTGAGGCCAGAGCATATTTATTTATTGAAATAAAAATATATTTGGTTCCCAGGGCTGAGGTTGTGGCTCAGTGGCAGAGTGCTTGCCTAGCATGTGTGAGGCACTGGGTTCGATTCTCAGCACCACATATAAATAAATAAAATAAAGGTCCATTGACAACTAAAAAATAATTTAGAAAAAAATATATATATTTGGTTCCAAACTCCATTCATCAAGCTGGTTGAGAAGTCATCCATTAGTTTCAGTTTTCTTTTTGAGGGGGGGGGGGCACCAGGAATTGAACCCAGGGGCACTCAGCCACTGAGCCACATCCCCAGACCTATTTTATATTTTATTTAGAGATAGGGTCTAAGTTGCTTAGCGCCTCGCTTTTGTTGAGGCTGGCTTTGGACTTTGGATCCTCCTGCCTCAGCCTCCTGAGCCCCTGGAATTACAAGCGTGTGCCCAACACCTGGGAGATCCCACAAATACCCAAGGTAAGTCTTCTTTCCCTTTGCATGTGAGAATATCTCCCAGAGGTCAGCATTTTGGTTTCTAAGTGGGGCCAATTTTCATACACCTGAAGGAAAGTCCCTCTTCTAGATGCCATTCCCCTCCCCCAGGGTGCACCTCCCCTGCAGTCAAACACACACACTGAGATGATCCAGAAGTAGCACAGGGAGAAGCAAAGCTTATTGACAGATCATCCGGGGAAGGCTAGAACTAAACCTGCTGTTGGAAAGGGTTGTCAGGGGTTGGACAGCAGGAGCTGGGAAGACCTCCACTCTAGCTTTACCAACAATTCATTGTGCACTTGGGCAAGTCTCTTTCTGGCTTGCTCTGAAGATATTCGTGCACAAACCAACAAGCTTGAACCTTAAACTCTGTGGATGCCCGGGCCAGGACTCCGTGGTTGCATACTGGCGTATACATGGTACTCACACTAGCGTTCTAACATTCAGATAGTCCGTATTCGAAATTCTTTGGCACGGAGCAAAGCTCCTCTTTGACCCGGTGTGGCGATGGACCTACACGACCCGACCTGTGCCTCTCGTTTCTTTCCTCCACCTCACCCAGCCCTACCTGGCTCGGAAAGAGAGAGAATGCCTCAGGGTAAAGAGAAGAAAGTCCTACACCTGCGCTGCCCGCCTGTCCTCCGCGCGTCCGGGAGGCTGAAAGTGCTACCGGGGCTACCCCCGCGCCCTACCCACCCCCGCCCGGCCTTGGCGGTCACCTGGAGCCGGAAGCGCTGCGTCGCCTTGTCCATGTTCTCCAGGCCCGCTCGCTGCCTCTGCCGCGCCCGGGCCGCCGCGCCCCGCGCCGACCGGCGCCCGGACCAGCGCAGGGCCACGGCCGCAGCCACGAAACAGCAGACCAGGGCAGCCCCGGAGGCTCCAGACAGCGCCGGCCACCATTCGTCTGGCACCATGATCTCCCGCCGCGGACTGATGCCCAGAGTGGAGGGAGACAGATGAGGAATCAGCCGGAGCAGCAGGACGGCTCCTCCGCAAAACCCGGCCTGGATCGCAGGGGATTCCGCGCCCGCCTGAAGGAGGGGCGGGGCGCGGGCCCGCGGGGGAGTGCGCCGAGACCGAGGCTGGCGACGCGCAAGGGTCAAGGTCAAATGGGGCTGCCGGCTGGGATCGCTCCGGGTGTCCTTGCACTTTAGGCCAGCCTGTGCTGCCAGCCGAGGGCATCCGCTCCACGTAGGCGCCCTCGGAAGAAGCACTGGTATAGCAGCAATTAGGCACGCAGACTGTAATCAGGCCTCAGCCCAGGAAGACTCGACCCAGCCAGCGCTCAGTGGAACAGGCTGTCCAAGAGGATTGAGAGCAGCAACAGACTGGACTTTTGGGCCCCCATCGACTTCATAAACTCTTCAGCAGCATCTTTCCTGGGAAAGCATGGAGGCCTTGCACCACAGGGCGCCCCCTTCTCCCCAACTTGGGTTGCTGAGGATTGAACCAGGGCCTCACACGTGCTAGGGTAGGCGAGCGCTCTAACGCTGAGCCACTGTCCCAGCGGGCAACCCCCCCCCCCCC